ATAAAATATCATAACTGTTTATTCTTTTATTTCTTTACTTCTTCATTTAAAAAATAAACTACATCTAATATTACAAGAAGCCAAACTCTCAATTTTTTGAGGTGCTGAAGTAAATTTGTAAGAAAAGTATCTTGCTGTACAATAAGTATTACACTGTTTTTTCATTAATTTGTGAAGTATTTTGAACGTCTTAAGTAGTGACGCAAAACAAAAAGATGCTAAAACTTTTGTGTGCTGCCATTTTTTGCACAGGATTTATTATTAAATGCTAAACCATGTTGATACCGATTTCAGAAAGCAGCAGAAAATTTGCTAACAGTAAATTTAGATTACAAATATACTTGCTAAGACTGTGAGATTAGAATTGATCGTTATTGTGTTTTGCTGTCAGATCACTGATAAACACAGAATTTAAAGCATCGTTTTGCCTGTGTTTGCCTCCGTCTGCCAACCGAATTCGTCTAGATTATGCATCAGCAAACGTATTTAGATCTCCAACATTTTCATCAGACTTGCATGTAAACGCTACTTCAAAAAGTGACTTCCAAGACGTGTTACGTAGTTGCGGCAAAAATGTAATATTTTGGACCAATTACTTTTCTCGATCTTCATTTTCTCTCAACGAGGAGTCAGTATGCCTGTGTTCTTTTGAAGAATAGAGAAAAAATTGTTTGGCTAAGTTGTAAAATTGGTTCTTTTCGTCGTAAAATTACTTTATTTAAAATTTGATTCAAGGCTTAGCTCAAGTAAAATTTGAAAAAACGTGTTGTGGAGAAATTTCTGCAGCATATATGTAAAGCTCAGAATGAACTCTATAACGTAAGCTATCCTTTTGAATGTTATAAAGAAAGATGGATATTCGACTTGTATTGCAAACTGATTTGCATTTCCTCCACAGGTTTTTAAAGCGCTTTTTATAATTATCTTTTCTTTTCTAAATTTGCTGTTTTCTAATAAAGTATATTTTAAAAAATTTTGAAAGAGTGGTAAAAGTTTTAGACACTTTCAAATCCTCATGAAACACTAGCGATTTCCGATGTAATCGACAGTTGAGGTAGAGTAGTTTCTTTTTATTATAATCCTTTGTGCCGGCCTCTATTCCAGTCGCTTTAAGCAACAAGCCATCAGGATAACACCATACAGTCTAACAAATATAGCTTTAATAGTTTTGCCAGCATATGATTTTTCTATAGTCAGCATAAGCAAAGAAATCAAGAGTTTGACGTATATGACTATGTCCATTACGCAATTTTAAGAAATTTTTTACAGGTGCAATCAAAGATCATAAGTTATATCCACAGTCAGACATTTGGCCGCTACAAATAACATCCGACTCACATGACGCTGCTTTATAGTTTCTTTAAGGCTAAAAAAAAAGCAAATGCGAATTTCAGAATAAGAAGTTTACAGAAAAGCTTTGTGAATAACGTTTCTTACTTATCACTCGACAGATATATTTTATATCAAAGTTGGCCTGACTTAAGAACAGTAAAATATCCTGTTAGATAAATTGATAGTAGCTATACAGTTTTTAACTTCTGTTTTCACAACAGCTCTGGAATGCAACCCATCCCAGCAAGACAACTGTCTTTATGAATTTCAAAGAAAATGGTAAGATAACAGATAAAATGCGATGGATGGAACACTTAAGTTTTTCTATTTCAGCACACTTTTTTAACTTTTTCTGAAGCATTGCTCGCCCGTACTCTTGTGGAAAATGAAACACTTTTACGAATAACTCTTTTTGTTTCTTCATCAATGATAAAAGTTTATTGTCATTTATTGTCATCAGTAATTTAATGTGACAAAACATGTGGTGAAAATTAGGCGGTGAAAAGGTCAGTTACTACGTTGCCTGACGTTACAGTGTTTGTGACCGACTGACTTGGAAGAAAAAAAGTTTTTATCTGAACAGCAAAATCTTCATGCCTGCAGAGCTCAATGCAAATTGAATTTACTTGTTAGATTCGATCACTTAGAAATGGTTGGCAGCAGGTAGTCATTACTGCATCACGAGACTGACCGGGAAGCATTTTTAAGATAGACAAAAATCGCATAAAAATATATTGCTATTGGTGATATGAAATATGATAATTTTATAGAGTCGTTTTATCCTAGCTGTTCTGAAAACTGTTTTTCCCAAACTTTTCGAAAAAAAAATTTTTTTTTTCAGAGAACATTTTAGCTCCCAAAATAATATTTTACTGAAATTAACTTTGGGGTTTGACAAACAACAAAATGAGAAATCCTGCTCAAGCTGATCTCCATATACAAAAAATTTTTAAAAAAAAGTTTGTTATACGCAGTTATCTTCATCTCTTCATCATCTATACAGCAATGTTTAACCAGAAAAAGGTGAAAAAAGTCCAACTGTAATTTTTACAACTCCATTTCGTCCCGCTTTTTGGTTGATGAAAAACCAAAATTTTGCAGACTTATCTGCCTCGCAATTTTTTTAACTTTGAAGCTATAACTTTTTTTACTTTAGTTCGTCATGACTACTCTAACAGCAACACAGTGAGGAAAATTAATAAGTTACTGATACTTTATTTGGCTTCAATAAACTGCTATATTTGTGACGATTTTGAATGCCATAAAAAACACGATATCGTCCGGAACACTACACTTTCAAACCAAGTATTTTGTTTTTTGCTGCAAAGTAGAAAGAACGACCAGTGACGGTACGTTCAGATAACCAGCAGTCAACTCAAAGTTAAGCAAAAAAGCACGCATTTTCAAAAAATTAACTGCCACATTAGTACTTCAATAAATCTCCCCACCTTCTAACAGTTGGAGAAAGATAATTTAAAGTAGATAAAACGAATTTCTCGGAGAAGTTGTCAAACGCTACTGACTGCTTTACAACGTGCAACCTTAAAAAATTCATCTTTGTAATCGGTAACCTCTTTAATTATTTCTAATGAACCTTTTACTCTTCATACCTATTTTGTTCAACAGCTTCTTTTTTTTGTTTCTGTCTACATGTCCATACCTACACTTGGGCAGACTGTGTACATCTTCCGCATAATATAACCTTTTCCCCTCAAACACAGGCTGCACAAACCCGACAAATAAACGAAAACTTAAGAACTAAGAACTTTCAAACGCTCAATTCATCGTCCTTACGCAAAAACCTTATTTGCAGTTTTCTCGACACCAGTGGTGATAAAAGAGACAAAAAGATCACATAAGCCTTCAATTTTAGGTGAATATCCACTTTCCTGCACCATACCTTTGACCCTCAAATGAGGAAGCAACACGAGCCTCCAAGGGATTCCAACTACAGTTTACCAAAAATTTCTAATGAAATAACAATTTCATCGTCTATTTCTTAAGGCGTCTTACAAAGGCGAAAAGCAGGGCACACTTACTTCATTCAATAAACAGATGACAAAGCAAAAAAAATTTTTAGCTCCCCCAAAAAAGCTGCACAAATGGCTGATTAAAATATGTGAAAATGAAAAATTTGACAAAGATACATGAACTGTCTTAATAGAGCTGACTCTCACTAATAAGATCGGTTTGTTGGTCCCCTAACATTCATTTATTTCTACAGACACAATTCCCAATAGATAGGACTGAGCCACCGGTAACGTTTGTTATCGTGACAATGTGACTGTGTAGAGATGAACGGTTCAATCAGTTATTAAGAACAATGTAACAATAAGTTAGTGCCAAAAAAGATGGAGAGCTAATTTTCTGAAACTGTAGCCTACAATCAACCTGTAATTTAAAGTTTATTTAAACATTCACTAGCAATAGAGACTCGTAAAGCTTTTGTATATTGGAATGTATTGGCAGTGTTACAATCGCAATTCTTAAATTTTAAACAGTTCTGCTCAATGCAGAAAACCGGTTATCAAAGTTAGTAAAATAACAACAGCAACAGCCAACAAACGTTGATAAAAGCACACTTTTGTCCACCCAAATCACTGATGGTACTAAACGAAGCTAATAAGCAACCATTTATTTCCTTATTTGCCTCCTGCTTCAAGTCGTTCTTTCGGCTCCATTACAGCTATAGAATTTCCCCGCACAACAACCATCCCTAACGGTTTAGTTTCCCCATTCTAAAAATAAGGTATAAGGTCAATGTACTACTGTGCAATAGAACAGCTAAATTAACTTTTTTTAATTCTTTATAACTTTGGAATCGACAGCATCTATGAAAAAGTCATAAGAGGCAACCCTAACTAGTAAAAGGTACCTACCACTGCTAGATAATCTGTGAGAGAAACAAAACCTGCAGAAAAAAAAAAAAAAAGATTTAAACAAATCCCACCTTCAGGTGTTCAACAGCATCCTCAACAACAATGTTCATGAACGGGTCAAATCCCCGAAGAACTCCTGATACTTGTCTGCTGCCGTTCAACTTTAGATCCATCTGCTTATCCATATACCGTTTAAGTTCTGGTGGATGGGTCTTGCTCATTTTTATTCAACTGTTATCCAAAGTAATCGAATCAAATTTGTCAAAAACCTCCAGACTATATTGTCCCAAAAATTCAACCTAAAAACACTGCTAAGATCACTCTCTTATCCCGTTAATGTGCAGTAAACTTGCAAGAACCTGCATTTAATTAATGAAATCTGGAACTGTTTTAGTAGTGTTAGCTATAATAACCATATCAAAACGAACTCACAATAACTTTTATAACAGTTTTAAGCACTATTTAACAACAAAATGCATAAAACATAAGAAAACGTTCAAGCCCACTGCTCCTTCCACAAATATCCTCATAAGACTAAAGCAATTGCAGAAATACCATTAACCTGATTTTTAAAAAACTCCTTCTGTACACTAAATTCGGCTTTGAAACCAATACGAAGTGCAATGAAAACCTGGCTCACTTCAAGCATTTTATAGAAGCAACTTATTGCTTAGATCTCGAAAACAAGTATTTCCGAAACTTTCTAGTCAACCATCCAGTCAGCAATGTCTTTAAAACAGTTAATTTCATTAACAATTATTACGTTTCTAGAATTATCTGAAACAATTCTTACGTCAATAATTAAATAGTTACAAACAAAAACAAGTATAATGAATCTAAACCAAGCCCATGAACAACACGACAAACGTTCAACATCAGATTCGTGAAACAAGCGAAGCACAAAACATCGAGTAAGTAACGAAACTTCCATGACGAAACAGAATTCAAAAGTAAAAGTAGCTTCAAAACTTCGGTTAAAATGTACAAATAGGTGCTGCTAACGTGCATAAAAACGATGTGAAAAGTGATAAAAATAAAGAACGGCAAGATAAAAGTAATGTTTTAAAGTAACTGTAAACAGCTACCCTAACTTGACATTTTGGATCAATTAGTTAAGATTTACATCTTCTGCGCCAATATGTAGACGAGAAAACGAAAAAGAAAAGAGATCTTTTTGAACAAATGCCAAGTTATTGAGAATAAAAGTAAAAAGGCAATGACTAATTCAAGCCAGTGGCCGGTGTTTGGATAAGCTTTGACTACAAATACCAAGCCTTTTAACGTAGAATACTCACTACATAACTGCTTCGGCTTAAAATAAATGCATATTGATCAGCAAAGAAAAGTGTGTAAATCTGGAGGTCTCTTAAAGAACTGATGAGAAAAACTAAGAACTCATCAACTAAGCAGAAAGCTAAATTTACCCACGCTTCATTTTAAGCTCTAAAGTGATAATATCTTTACAAGAAATACTTTTAAAAATATCACAAAGTTTTTGTAGTTTCCGCAACTGGTTCAGATCCTTTTGTGTGATAAGACAATCCGTCTGATTCAAGTGGAGAAGAAATAAATGGTGAGAAAAAAGTTAACACCCATTTGCGACCAAGCGCCTGGCGCACATTATTTAAGAATCCAAGATTGTATGCATGAACATCCTGAAAATAATGCATCCATAACTAAATTCATAAAGTTACGAGGATTGAAAAAGCAAACAGTAATACTGCTTCTGCTACTTAGCAAGATATAAAAGAACATGAGTCGATTCAAATGGTCTATTTTTTTCCAATAAAATAAAAAAGACCGTAGGCCATCCCATAAGTGGTCATATTCTATTCGAAAAACCGTAAACTTACAAGTAAATACTCCACACGAGTTTGACCTCGATATAAGCAGAAAATTTGAGCAGCAGCTAAGTAAGTTATAAACATTAAGGTGGTCATCGTGAGTACGAATACCATAACAGAGAAAAATTGCGATAACGAAAGGAAACGGAAAAATAAGGCCAAATGAGGGAGGAAGATCTGCCAATACTGTAACAACGAGAAATTTCCCAGTGCTGACCACATAAAAGTCCAATTCCACCTAAAGCTGATTAGTTTTCTACAAAGTACAAATATAAAAAATGAAAACAGAATAATTCATCCACATGAATATTGTCCATGCTACCTTTTCAAAAAGTAATATTAAAAAGTATAACAAAAGTCTAACGTTAAAACAACGACAGTGACAATCCAAAGATTAATGACGGCAGCTATAAAGTAACGTTGGTTGAAGTGGCCGACACAAACAGCAGCGAACGAGCAATGATGATCGCGTCGAAACGAACATTTGTCACAAACTAGAAAAAAGTTAGAGTTATGTTAAGTAAAGACCAGCTTGATATTGTAAAGAGAAAAAAGAAACATTACGTCTTCAGAAAATACCTGGACAATGATGAGATCTGGGTGGCACATTCAGTTGACAGTTGTGGCAGTAATGAAAGCCAGGCTTCATAAGTGCAGGCAAATCAGAAATCAAACCGTTTGGACCGACGGTTTTCATTTTGTACACGTTGAGGTAAGCATTAATACCAAGCAAAAATAATATACCAACACGCCAAAACCAACCCTAAATTATAAGTGTTTTACACATCCATTTCAAAAAAGAACTTGTCTATTTCAGAAAAAGTAAAAAGTGTTATCAAACAGAAATAGCGTAACAATTTACTTCAGTGAAAGTTTCATGGGTCGTCGGCAAAATGATGAAAATTTCTATAAGAAAACCAACTGGAAGCGCAAGCAGTAGTATAAATACTGCAATCTAAAGAAGACTTCCCGTAAGGCAAAAAAAAAAAGAAACAGTTTAACGTTAGTAGAACCTGACAAATTTATCTACAAATACTGATAACGCTAAAGTTACCTTCAAAAAATTTTTGTTGGCTACCCCCTATCTGCACAAATAATCAGTTTCCTACTGGTATGATACAACAAATATAACAGAAAAGAATCCTTACAATGTCTTGGGTTTCGTTTGGCAACAAATTTCTTAATCGTCGTAAAAACACTTCATTTTCGTCTGCATCATCCATCACCGAACTGATCCGTTGTTTCAAATCATACATGTCAATCAGTCTAAAAAACTGAAAAGACTGTTAGATCCTTAACTTCCAATATTAGAGCACGAACGGATAAAATCAAACCACAAAAGAAATAAACAGTCAGAAGTTGATAACCAGCAAAAATATTCTAAAGATCTAATCTTAACATCCATCATTTGTTGTAAATATGAATTCTGTATCCATATCGTCTGTTTTAGGACAGATAACGGCCTTATACCACAGCTTCAAGCTGTTGATCATGTCGAAAATAAGATTTACAGGAAATATTAAGAAAAATACTTTATCACTTATCATCCAAAAATATCCTTATGACGCCAATGATATTAAATTACATACTGACGCCGTAGAAGTTGCTGGACAATTTTTTTTTTTCTTTTTTTGCATATGACATCAAAAATTTGATTCAGAACAGCGTATTCCCCAAGCTGCTTAATGAATCGTTAGTCATTACGTTAAATTTAGTTGTACACAAATACCTATAACTGTTTAGGGGACAGTTCTCACACGAAAATGAAAAAAATTTATGCCGAAAAAAACAGAATTTTGTAATTAACGAGAATAACACATCCAAATCTTTGGAGATACGGCCATTTACGATGAATACAGTGTAAAGTAGAAAGGCTAATAAAGAATTTCGGTGAATGGCTATGCCAAAAAAAAAAGCCTTTGCTGTTTCAAAGTATGCGATCAGCCAGACGAAGGGAAAGAAATGATTTTTGCCAGAAGTAAACAAATTTATGAATCCGACAATTAAAGAAAGTTTGCCAACTATGTTCTTCAGTCGGTATAATTCCTTATGCCAGTGTTCATCCTATCGTTGGCAGCATCACCATCACTACTATCAGTAACAAGTAACGACAGCAGCAACAACAACAACAACAACAACAAAAACAGCAGTATCAAC